TCTCCGAGTTAAGGACGTTTCTGGATATTTTCATTCTTCGTAAAATGCTGTTGTGTTTAGTTGTACTTATTCATCCGATTCTGAGTTATTTCAAAAGACTTCTCCAGGTGTGGCTCCTGAGAACCTTATTCAGACACATTTACATTGGTTAAGATAATTTTGGAAACTACCAGTTTTGTCTTTCAGCTGTCGACACGAATATTCCATCCAAATTAGCATGTTATTCAGAATTAACTAGAATCAACTGTTCGTTCTGTTTGAAAGAAGTTCTTTAATCGACGCTCACTAGATAGGAAAAGTGTTTACCTATTGTACATTATACAAATTGAAACGAACTATATGACTGCTTGAAACATTTAGATCACACCTGTTTTCCATACTTTGTATCAATAAGTTGCCGTAGTTACATCGCCTTACAATCTGTTAAGGTACAATTCTTAGCCAGACATTTAAGAAAGCGTATATTTTATCCTCTCAAGTTCCAGTTAATTTGAAGCATTAATTTTAATCGATTTATTTCTTTATTCTATTTTAATCCTATTCTTCAGCTTGCTTACTGCATAGTCCAGTTCTTGGATAAAGATGCGACTCTGACAGAGCAGGTTGTTCGCGGACTCTTAAAATTTTGGCCCAAAACCTACTCTCAAAAAGAAGTTATGTTTTTAGGTGAAATTGAAGAAATCCTAGAAGTTATTGAGCCTTTACAATTCCAGATTATTATGGTCCCTCTTTTTAAACAAATTGCGAAGTCAGTCTCAAGTTCCCACTTTCAGGTTTGTTTTAGTTTTGTTCTTGGAAATGTATTACAGTTCGCCACATAATGTCACCAATTTACATTGGAAGTTGGTTCACTCAGCTGCTAGGTTATGGGGTTCAATTACATGCAACCCAAGTACGAATTAAATTTGAAATAATTTGGTCTCTGATCAAAAATATTATTATCGACTTTGGTTCTTGAAGGAGTTACCTATGGAACAGTTACACGATTACAAATTGGATAAATTTTTACAGTATGTACATAAAGATCCTCAGTAATGTCCAACAGCTCCCAAGTTATGCAAAATGTAGTGTGTAAATTAAGTGACTTATACTTTAAGAATGTGTTTTTAATTGCCTAACAATGCTTATGCCAACAGTGGCTTACCAATATTTCTGCCTAAAAATACAATGCACTTGCTAATGTATTTTCTGAATTTTACAATATGTACTTCCTAGGTTGCTGAACGAGCACTAAGTTATTGGAACAATGATAATATAGTTTCTCTTATTGAAGAAAATCATGACACTCTTATACCAATATTATTCCCATCCTTCTATCGTATTTCACGTGAGCATTGGAATCAAACAATTGTAGCTTTGGTCGGAAATGTTCTGAAAATCTTTATGGAAATGAATACAAATTTGTGCAATCAGTTAGCTGAAAAACACAAAGTAGAACGTCAAAGGTAAGTGGTTTTTAGATTATCTCAATAATTCCGTATAAATGAATGCTCGTGTAATATCCGTGCGTTTTCAATATATATCTAGGTCCACTATTTTCTTAACTGACTCTTAACTTTAACATTTTCAGACATGTAATTTCATTCCGATTAATGTTTGGTAGCACAAGACTATTAGCTATGTTCAATTTCCCCAGATGATCGTTGTTCATAGACATTAAAATGGTTTGAAGTCAAGAATTGTGTACTCAATAAATGTGGCCACACTATTCTACGTGTTGACTTCGCAGGTTTATGTATATGAAAACGTATGTTTAGGTCAATTGGGTTTTATGCGATTACTCTTCAATTCACATCCTTGGCATTCAAAAGCGCTTAAAAACAGTAACTATATCTTCCCTATTTTTAAAACCACTTTCATTTCTGTTTTTTTCGTTAGACAGTTGGCATGATTTACTATCAAGATATTGATTTCCTTTGTATTGGAACCTCCTTTTTGTTGTTACCTCGTCACAGTGCGCCTGGATGTTGATTACATATACTTATCTGTTTAGTAAGACAAACAGATACTAATAACAATGAAATTCCAGAGACATCGCATTTCTACATAAACTGTTCCAGTTACTTATTCCTATGTTCCATTTCCTTAAATATTTGAAAGTTTATTCCATTTAATTTTTCTTAGGGAACGTAAACGGGAGAAGGAACGTGAAGAATTATGGAAGAAACTTGAGCAGCTGAGGATGTCTGGTTCGGGCGACACACCTGGCCCACCAAATATTGATTCCAAAACTAGCTCTGCAATTACCAACAATGCTTTCACTAACGTCCATCAACTTGGGGTAACTGTGACTAAGCGCTAGATGCAGCTCTCCAACCACTTGTTTCACACAATATCGGCTATATAATACTGCGTTTCATGATCCATACATCTTAGAAGCCTCATGATTCATTCCGTACTGCGTTAAAGATTTTTGTGAGTTAAATAGTGCTGAACATGTAACTTGGTCCTTAAGTACAACTTGATTAGTGCATGTTTGCCCATCCATTTATTGAATGAATGAGGGTATATTCTTTTCTTGAAGTGACTATTATACTTTTTGTTCTCTGCTTCAATTAAATACCACATCTTGTTATTTAATGTGACCTCAATTGTAATTTCATGAACATAATTTGTATGTTGATTTTATAGTCATAAGACACATAATCGCTCACTTATAACCCCATTAATCTGTAAATCCATCGACAGGACTATAGAGATATCAAAGTGGTTATTACCCTAAATTTTTGTGAATGGCTTTCGCAATTTTATTAATATCATGCCCAGTTCAAACTTGAAGAAATCACATTCACAAAATGTCTTTTAAATTCTTTTTGGATGACTTATTGTTTTACTTGAAAATGTACTCGGTGTTTCTTTCTGTGTACCTATATTTTTTACAGAAAACCGAGTATAGACGTAAATAATATATGGAACGCATTTCTGGATTTTACTGTACATTTAGTTATTTATTATGCTTTTCACAAAACGCTTAAAAATCTCAGCTCCATGTATATCGTATTTGAATACCATTGAGGTTGAGTCCTACAGCCATTATTACGTTGCCTTTTTGGGAGATATGAAATTGATTCCTATTAGTAATTGTCACGATGGCTATTCACAAATACTAAAAATCGAAACATTATACTGGCTATTGTCCCCTTGTGAGAAGCTTTGCATTCAAACAATAATGCGAATTACAGATTGTGGTACTACTGTTATAATGCTGTTTTAAGGATGACCCTCTGATGAAATTCAGTTCTGTACTACATTTCCATCTACTTATAACGTCTAACAATTTCCGTGATTTTATAATCCTATATGTGCAAGTTTTTCTTACAACAATTCAGTTTCTGACTTATCCTCTTACAAGATCAGTATCATATGTAAGTTGAAAGATAGAATCCCTCCTAGAGGTTATTTATGAACGAGCTGTTGTTACGGTGTAATGAACAAAGCTACGCTAGGGAAGCGATCATATCACATGCAAATTATGTGAGATGAATAAAACGTGGTAATTTCTCGTTTTATCACTGCTACAACAATTAAAGTTCACACCATTAGTTCATCTGTGATCTCAGAGGCCACAGATTCCTCTATTTCTAAACCATTCTTCTAATTTTCCATCACACTTATTGAAGCTTTATATAAGTGTTTGTGAAATTTTTATTACATCTTAAAGCATAAGTATGGAATTCTCAGAATGTTTTAAATGTGCAGATGAGCACGCAGAAATAGAACAAATTACCCACTTTCCACACGGGGACGATTGTCTATAGTAAGATCAAGGCATAATATGAGTCAGTATCAATATACTGGCTGATGAGTAAGTTTCAATGAGACTAAAAATTCTGGCAATTATATTCACGACATTTAGAAGTCTTTTGGTATTTCTAATGTGTAGTAGGAGTGCCATAAGGATTACTGATTATTGGTCACTTAACCTTTCGCCAGAGCAAATCACTGTAGGGAGGAATCCGCTACACAAGTAAAAATTATAGGTTCTCCCTGCAAACACTTAGATCCCAAACATGTTTACCTTTGAACTATTGGGTTAATAAGCTTCAAACCATCGGGGAAGTCTAACTTTTCTTGAACGACAATTTTCCAGAGTTTCCTGCTTTAAATGTCCCTAAACCTTTATGTAACAAACAATGACATTCTAATTACTTACACATATGCTTGGAGAAGTTTTTTTTAATCTACGTAAATTACTAATATAAAAATAGCAGGTGAAATAACAAGCTTCAGTCAGTCAGTAACAACGTAGAACTTCGTACGTACGTACATCAGTTCGAGTTGCCACACCACATTAGCACAGAGATGCAGTGGTCGATTCAAATCCCGTAGTGGTAGAGGTAATAAGAGTATAAGCAGTAATCGGGAAGATTAAGGTTTGGAGATGTTATTTAAAGAGTATAATACAGTGAAATAAATTTGGAAAGAGGAAAAAAGGGACATGAAGAATTCAGAAGATTAGAATTTGGGAGAACACAGAGTGGATGCACCTGCGCCATTGCAAACGATTTTGAGCCATGTCATTCAGGGTCTCTAACCATCGGTTGCTATCATCTCGCGGTCCCCAACCAGGTAGTCTACACCCACCAACATGACTCAGTTCACTTGTCAGTGACTTCATGGACTTGTGCCATGTTTTGGTCTGGCCGCCCCTAGCTACAGTCAATGACCTCACTGATTATTCCTCTAAGTCGACAGATGACAACACAGAATCGATCCCAAAGGGGCCATTTAATCTTTGGTTTAGAAATTACCTTACTTTTTATTCAACTCATTCATCTTTCCACAAGTTATATTGCTTGTGGCTGATCTTTTTCGCTATAACTGAAACAGCTACTACCATGGTATTCATTTTCATAAATTCTGACTACGCTCCTGATGTATTCTGGCAACCTGAGCTGACACACTTTCCACGTACGAAATTGCTGACAGCCAGTTGTCTTTTCGGATGTGCGAGGGCGAAACAAGAAGCTGAGTCATAACACATCGGAAAATATTGTAAGGACTAAGTAAACTATTATATTTGGTCAGGATGTCTTGCAGTCTTCTTGTTGCTCTACTGGCTTTAATGTACTTACATATTGCCGGACTAGTTTTTCGTTTTCTAATATTTCTTCCGGCTTTTTGTACTAGAAGGAAGAAAACAGATTAGATACGAAGATCACAAACCGAAATCAGAAGAGTATTGTTAGCATGGGTTAATGATATGGACTTTTCGTTTAGGGGTAAACCCATTCGGGTCATATCCGGAATGTTGAACTTTTTGTAATATCTGAATTGAAAGTAATCGAAACTAAGTGTAGTGCTTACTTTTTGTTGGTGGTCCGCAATAAGATATTTCCATCTTCAACGGAAACTCTGTACACATCTAGCGGGTAAGGTAAGTTACGGATACGCCATTGGAATGCATGTGGAACATCACTACGACTGAACAGTGGCTAATTCTGTTACTAAAGTAATGAAAATATTAAAATACAGCTTGTGATGACTCCATTAGATGCTCTGAAAACTGGTTTTCTCTCCTAAGTGATTCTCCAACTTCATATTCCCACTGTCCGTCCCCACCAAGTACGGTTTTGCTTCTAAATTTCCTTGCTCATTATGATCATAAGGTGATTTGAACAAGGCATACTTACCCAGTAGATTATGGGTAGACAAGTCATATTCTTCAACCATTTGCAAACCTTCAGGAAATAAGAAGTGGACCTTACGCTTTCCTAGAAAATTTTAACAAGAAAAAGGAGCAAGGTTTCAATTTATTGAGATACTTTGATTCGGATGGTGGCAGTTAGTGAGTGCTTTGGCATATTATTTCCTAGATAAGTACGCATATTTGTTGAAAAAGTAGTCATAAAGAAACTTGTTCGGAGTAATGTATTATCATTATATCTTCTTACAGTTGCTGCTCTTCAATTACTTGAAGGCTACAATTTTAGCCTAGGGAAATGAAAACTTAAAGTACTGGTAGTACGAAATGGTATCTCAAATAGCCCAGAATAACGACCTGGTTACATTGGCAAACATAGCTATCTGGCGATTTGCGATGCAGATGATTGTTGCCGTAGTCCGGTCACTCCAAGCGACTAACATAAGAGAAATTCATTTTGGATATGCTTATATATATATACTTAGGGTGTAACTCTTAGCGATACCTGTAAATGTTTTAAGAAGGCACAACTTCAGTTTCGTAGTATTGAGAAATGAAGGTATTATTCACTACTACTGCGATACAAAATTGAAAAGCTTGAGTAGAATAGACGAACCAGGTAGTGGCCCATTTTTTGACACGACAGTCCTGTACATTTATGATGGAAAATTCAGTGTAAGATGCTCAGTATGCATGAGCGTGACCAACTGGATAAATGTAGTACATATAAATGGATTCAATTCTACTTGATTTCAGTCCTAATTTATAATGCGAAACGGGTAGCTTCAAAATAACTGGTGAAAAGTATGACTCCAGCGTTTCGGTAAATTAATGACGGCTCACCATCCTCAATAATGACAGTCGCTTTCGCAGACTTGACCTTTTTGACCCACGCGCTGGTATCCATGTTTTGTATTTGCCTCCTTTCATATTGCTAATCCTCAATATCCAGATGACTAGTTACCATCTCTGAGGTTCGGACAGTAAAATATGTTGTATTTAGAATGAGTAAACGTTTGCTAGTAAATTTAAAAATACTATGAAACGTGAAACTATTTCAGTTTTAGTTGGTAAAGGGCTGGTAGCCTGTGTTATTCCTAGGCAATGGTGGTCTCTCAGTTGATCCAACTTTCTTTTGAAAGAGTCGACGGATCGAGCCTCAAACACGTGCTGAGGTAATGAATTCCATTCATTGATGATTCGATGGGAAAGTCGATAGTCAGCTGACAAGTTATTTGTCCTGGGCTTGTGAAAATTCTTAGACACGACATCAGGAATACGTTTAGCTTGGCCAGACGAGCATCATACGGAAGCTTCGCTATTCCGGGAATCAGTTTAGTTGCAGTTCGCTGAACCTTCTCCAAAAGCTCAGTCTTTTTTAATCAGGAGCCAGCCGCTTGTGTGAAGTACTCAAGTATAGAACGTACGAACACTGCATACAAAGACAAAAACCTTTTAGCATCGTCGTGACTTAAGGCCATACGTATTGACCATAAGGTTCTAAAACCTTCGGCGGCTTTTGCACGGCAGTGTGCAGTAGTCTTTAAGTCTTGGCTAACGACGACTCCTAAGTCATTATGTGTCTGGAAAACAGGTAGCTCAGTGTCATTCATCGTGTATGTTCTGTTCCTTGATGACCGATAAGCATTACAACACACTTGGAGGTATTTATCAGCAACTGTCAGGTTTGAGACCATTCAGATAATTTCTTCAGGTCATTTTGGAGTTCTAAGCTATCATCCTTACATCGTATCGTTCTCCATATCTTGACATCGTCAGCATATAGCAAGACCGATGATGATAGGAGACGAGGAATGTCATTTACATACAAGAGGAATAGCACTGGCCCCAAAACTGTACCCTGGGGCACTCCACTAAGCACAGTTTCCCTTCTAGACAACTTTAAGTTCACCCGTACTCCTTGTTGGCGCCCAACTAGGAAGTCTTTTATCCACATCAATAGATTGGCTCTAAACCCAACATTTATTAACTTACATAACAACCGGTTGTGCAAACCTTTGTCAAAAGCTTTGCTGAAATCAATGTAGGTCACGTCTACAGGTAAATTTTGGTCCCTAAGTGGGAACCAGATTTCACCAGCCACTAATAAGTTAGTGAGACAAGAATAACCTATTCTGAAACCGTGCTGTTTCTCCGAAAGTATCCGGTTTTCATCGAGGTACTGAAACAGCTCCTTCCGAATAATCTTTTCTAAAATTTTAACAACCACACTGGTTAAGCTAACGGGTCGGTAATTCTCAGGTTTATGTTTCGTACCTGTGTTTAAGACAGGACTTACTATGGCGTTCTTCCAATCTTTTAGTAAACGACCCTGCTTTATGGATAGATTAAAGTATATACTTAAAGGTTTCTCAAAGAATTTAGATAGTTCTTCAGTAGCCTAGGATGTAATTCATCGGGCCCCGTGGATTTACCTATGTCCAGCCTATTTAGCAAACCAAAGACATCGAGTTCTTTAATGGTCACGCTATCCAGTGTATGTGTGGGGAGATTTGTATGCACTGACGGGGAGTTTGCTTCTATGGTGTATACATTACTCAGATAGTTCGAGAACACTTGAGTCTTACCAAAGTCGTCCTCCATTGAAGATGAAGCAGCACTGTCTTCACACAGTGCAGGGATATTTCCTCTCTGTTTTGTTTTTTGGTTTATATACGAATACAAACGTTTAATGCATTCTATGGGTTCCTTGACAATTTTCTCTTCGTACAACCTTCTAGACTTACGGAAGGTCGAGGCACAGGTACTCCGAGCTTTTCGATACTGAGATTTTGTCGCACCAGTCCCCAGTAACCTAAACCTATCACACATTTTTCTTCTGATACGGATAAGAATGCGAACCTCACTACTGAACCATGGTAGTGAATTTCTCGGCCCCTCCGGTATGGTCCTAGGGACGTGGGGTGCCCACAAATACATATATATATATGAACATTCATCTATTGAAGTGTGCTAAGAAAAAGTCCCCAAATTAAATGGGTTTGTATGTCTTTGACTTTGACGCTCAACTCACACCAAACTCTTCTGTTTATGTTTTGACTGGGTTGGTATACGCTGATTATAAACTTGTTACGTGTAAAGGCGTTGTCGAACTCTGAATATCTGTGGCATATTTAGACGTGTTAAATAGGCAATTAAAAAATGTTAGCCCTCATTTTTGAGTCTGGTCGACTGTACTCGTAAATGTGATAGCTTAATTATTGATTCTCTGCTGAATAAAACACATTCCGTGTATACCCTCGTCTCATGTGGTATTTTCAGGGCTACACAACTATCGTCTCTACATATTTTGAACATGGCTTTGCTTATTTGGGAGGCAATCTCTGAAATAACGTTGTCTGACTGTTGTTTTACTTGAGGTTCAGATATTGATAAGCACCACACTAAAAGCTAGATATTTAAGTGCTTGAATGGAGACAAGATATTCTAGAAAGACTACATACAGTAATATATAGGATCATCAAAATTTTAAGGTTGCTTCAACGGCAGTCTATCCTGACGACGTAAATACAGAAATTATCTATCGTGTGATCTGCAGTACGAATCTAAGTTCAAAGCGGATAGGAACCTTAAATCCACGACGAACCAATAGACTAAATTTCGTCATGTCAGATTCAAAAAGTAAGCAGATAATGGACTGAGAAGTCATGTTAAAGTACATCGACAATATGCTTTAAAACTTGCGAATTGTAGAAAAGGTGTCTAGCTCCATAACATACTTCATTTCCCATCATTTGCACACGGCAGGAAAACTTAATATAATACGTGGGGTAAAAATTAGGAGAAGCCAGTGGAAATTATTATGAAGTCGTAAATGCAATCTGCTGTTTGCAACTATAAATACAAAAAAAACAGGCGACACTTCGTCTTCTTTCCGACGGAGACTTCACACGTTGAACGGTATCTCCTACTCAAAACGCGAAGCATGTGCTAGTTGCACCATTATATCGCCTGGTCGCTTGAATCTAAGGTGTAATTACCAATATAAATAAGTCATTTGCTTGCTGGATCCTTCCACAAAAAGTGAATTTTGACTACATTTAATTAAAACATGAACGTGGAATCTAATTGGAACATTATAATCATATCCTTCAGGAGTGTTTGGTCGGAAATTGTGAACTCCCTGGGGTTGGCTATGCAGTGTGACGTCACTCATTAAGTAGTTGTCACCTACAAGAAATATCATACATCTAATGCAGTGGTAAAAGCTTACGTCATACTTGCCACAACCTACTGTCCCATTGTCCTACTACTTGTGTAACAATGCAACTAGCATGTTTGTCCAAAATGACAGCCATTAGTTTGACAGTAAAAATGTTGTTGAATATCGGGATACTTAAAACTTACGTCCACATTTCCCTTAGTTCCATTATGACATCTGTAGACATTAGGTCGAGATTGGATGGTTTTATTCGACCAAAAGTCACCAACAATGATTAGTTTACTACGGTACGGCTCTAAAAGATAGCCTGAGACGGTCCATAGCTACTGATCATATATTTCAGGCAGTCCATCGTGAATACAGTTATTTTGACTTGCACGTCCTAATTTCAGAAGATCTAGGCGGATATTCTCCAACTCTCTGTGATGGTGGACGAAAGCGTCCACAAATTGAAGTTGAAAATTCTCATAGCATCCAAGATCAATTTGTAATGGCTTTGGAAGATCTTGCAAAAGTCGGCGGAATCACTGAGGTATGGAATCAGCCATTTCACTGTAAGATACCAGACAACAACATATCTATCACAAGCTTTTAAGCACCTTTAATCAATGTACAGATGCAAAGTTTTTAAATGCCAATCAATCAGAATAAATGATAATATAATTTCAACAACCCCAATAGGACCACGATAACTGTAACTGCAAATGCAGTCAAATGACGAAGTTCAGCAGATATAAAGATGCCAAAATTATTCATATTTTACAGCAACTTAACCAGTAACAACTCTATAGTTGAAACGTATATTTGATATGCTATCAATAAATCGAGAAGTGACTGATCTAAGCTTGTGAGTGGTCGTAGTAATAGCGGAGAAAGCGAATCCACTCGTGATCTGGTGAGTCCATCAAAACAAACGCGGTCAACATCGGAGACTCACAGGGCTATCGATTTTCGGGATTCATTTAACGCTACAGAATACAACAGTGATTATTGAGTCTGTTATATAACAGAATGTTCTTTCCATTGCTTCCTACACAACCAAACTGTCTATTTGTGAAATCGACCTTTCATTTTTTCATTCTGTAAAACCTCGACGAGCGGCAGTCCACCAAGTTCGAGACTCTTCATATATACACATTTCGCAAAATAAATAACCGAAACTTGATTCCATAAAATAGGTCGGTCTATATGGGAAGACTCATTTGCCTGATATACCAGTATTACACTAAAGCAAAGTCATTACTTGCATATGGAGTTCAACATTTTATCATTATAATCATGTAAAGCGAAGACTGAAGCTGCCATAATAAGCCCTAAATATATAAAGTTCATTGCCAACTGTGCGACGCAACCTCACCGACCAAACGTTTTGTGTGTGTGAAATATGCTTAATCCTGCAATTTCCTACACAATTGACTGAAAATACTCGATGATTTTCCTGAAAAATTCACCCAGGATCGATATTATATCGGGAATTAGTTCAAAAGATGCATGGAGTTATTAGCTTGAGGTTACACAAACGTGTGAATGTGAAATGCAAAAACAATTTAAACTGTTGGTTGTAACTCATCAAGAACTATTCTGTTTAGATCACTAATTTTATTCATACTCGTTTTCCCACTGACTGTTATCGATCGCTTTCATCATCAGGTGTGCATATATATATATAGTCTGTTGGGTTTGTATATAAACCCAGTATGTTTGAAGTACATGATTCATATGGCGGAGTCTGAGATTGGTGCTAATGCCCCAACAAGGAGATAGACAGGGGGACCTGAGACTGCTCGTAGGGATTTGTGTCAGTGGTAAGACCGATAAGTCACTATTCTGTAATTGGCGGTATCATTAAGTTAAGTGATGATAGTACACAAGTTTAGCACTGTGCACTCACTGACGGCCCACTTTTATTCTTCGTTCTATCTTCCCTTGATCACACTACTCTGAATGATTTCCTTCTGGCTAGATACGAACCACAACACAAACCACCTCGTTAGTAGCACCACATAAGTTCAATGAAAGCCTTAGTTCTGTTATCGCGCGTATAACAATAACACATCAATTTTTCGCAGTCCTTCCTGATGAAACAGCTACATAAAAATAAGCATGTTAAAAAACTTTAGTCTTTTCTTAGTGTGATGTAAACTAAGTACTAGCCTATTAGTAAACACAACTATGCTTTCAGATTACGAACCAAAAAAACACTGGAAACCAGGAATAGCCGGGTCGCTCTTACATCCCAAGATGTGAGCACTTAGAAGTCTGCATCCACAACCGCATACAGGTCAGACGTAAAGTTCTCGGAACTGTTAGGTAGTGCTTAACATATAGAGTACCGAGGACGTCTATTTTCAACCAATTGACGGGATTGTGTGATTCTATCCGGTTTTTATTTTCTGTCAGCTACCTCACACACTGTGTGGCCGAACGTTTGTCACTGTATTTCACAAGACTCAAGACGTCTCCTTGGTACTATCGTTTATTGAGGAAATGATTCCAATAATATCTTAAAATCTCCACAACCCCTAATTAGACTAAAATATACTTATGAACACAATTTAAGTTAGGTTTGCATTGAATTGAAGATGATACTTTTGATCCCACTCATTTTTAATGTCAAATTTAAACTTACTATTGGTACGTTTGCGGGGAAAGCAGAACTGGAACTACTACGATCACTCTTAAGAAATAAATTGAGTGTTAACTAGTGCAACCGCCGAGTTTAATTCTCACAAGTTAGTTATTGGTCGTTGTTTACTAAATAATCAACCATAAGCAGCTAGGATCGCCAACTGATTGGTAACATCACATTTTGGAAAATATTAGCAAGTTACGGCCCAACATCCTTATCTTCCATCGTGACAATAAAATTATCTGCTCACGCTGAGAATGTGGGAAAGGACGATTTCTCACATTTTCTAAGAAAGATTTAGTGTCTACTTACAAACTCAAATTCAAATACATAATAGCACATCTACGCAGTAGACGTACTCAATCCTCAGGGTTTTCAACATTTTGATAACCATAAAATTTCATAGCTTCGAATTCTCTTTGAGCCATCATGTCTAGTCTTCCAAATCACTATCCAAATACATTTCTAGAATTTACGTGATTTTCGATTGGTGAAAGAAATTATCAGCGATTGATAGCACTTCTAGTTACTTCGACGTACTACCTTGTTAGGTACATGAAATTCATCAATCCATATAATCTAGTATCAGTTAATAGCATCTTTTATTCTCTGATAAAGATGCTGTATACATGAAAGTCATGCTGTCTACGTAAGTGATTGATTGGTTTTAATAACAGTTTATGCCAAATACTGATGAAGCCCACTTCGTATTCTCTTTAATAGTGTCTGATATTTTCCAAGTTATGGTTCACTTATATAATATAAAGGAGATACAACTTTGGATTTCCAAATAAAAATGAAAGATTCCGCTGAACTTATTAGAAATCAGATAACTCAATTGAAAGCTCTTTAAAAGAAGGCGAAAATTGGATAAACGGACAGACTAAACATGGTCTTTAATTGACGGAAATCAATACCAATATGTAGGAGTTTGCTTAAGACAATCGTCCTTTAACTTTAAATCCTTGAGCAAACTCTTTTCGAAATTGACATCTGATGTCGAAGTGAGAGACTTGAGGGATACATTACAAACAACTGGTTCACAAGTATCTTTTGAACTGGCAACAGCTGTTTTAGGATCGGTTAAGTCATCTAAATGTCTGGCTGCAGCTGGTAGAGGGATTACATGACCTGTTTGTAGGGAAACACGGACCCGATTTCCCTCTTCAGTGTACCGCCAGGAGCACTTGCAAGGTTCATTATTTGATGGATCCAAAAGAGCAACCTAAAGTTAATTAAAAGGTTAATAATCAAAACAGACTATACGGAGAATGCAAAGAACATTTAATTCAATAAGACAAACCTCAATGTACTGAAAAATTAAACGTTACCTACATAAATGCATACATGTTATGATAGGTTAACAGTGTACAGAAAATTTGATTATGCATTTGACTGATCGGTGGAAATTTCAAAGACAATTTTAGTCTTTTTCAAGAATATTTAAACATCAATCAAATGTACTATAATCAAGTGTGAAGATTTGATTACAACAAGTTACTACCGCAATATTTACAGATACATGTAAGGTAATTTCTGTCAATCACTGAAAGGTCTTCACGTCTACTTAAACACTAAATCTTGATAAATGAAGGGAATTAAGATATGGCTCAGACAAAATAAAACTAAAGGAAAATATGTCAAGTGACAGAAGTAATGAAACCATGAAAGAGTAATAATCCACTTAACAGTTTACTTCTGAAAATGTAAAATGGGAATTGCAAAAACAAAATTCCAGCCATTATATGATTAGAAAACGCAAGGAAAAAATGACGCATAATGCAGCACAGTAAGAAACTTTCAGACTTTTGATGTACAAAACAGGGATAATAAGGGAAAAGTTGGAAAATCTGTCGAAACAACAGTCTTTCTGAAACAACATATCATTCAAACTGGACTCCTTCAACGTTCACATATCGGACAACAGATACGGTTGTCTATGACCTTAGAGAGTTGCAACATCGACGTCTGTTGTCTGTCTGAAACCCATATTGAAGACTTTAGTGGAGTAATACAAATTTCCATCAGTCGCTTCGAAAAGCTTGTTTCACGTGCACACATTCGGGGACCCACTGGCATCTTCGGCTGGTTTTTCTGGCGTTGGTGTCGCACTAAGCGCCAGGGCTGAGGTAGCACTGACCGGCTGGATCCCCATTAAATCCATTATGTGCTGTTAGATTAAAAAGCCTCATTAAAGTGAAAAACGATGTTTTTTAGTGATCTCCACTTACACTCCGACAGGTTGCGACCCGGTTGTTATCAAGTGAGTTTTACTACCACTTAACTGTTTTTCTACAGAAAGTGGATCCGACAGATATTGTGTTACTAGCTGAAGACTTCAATGCTCAGGTCGGACGTCTAACCACAGAGAAAAATTGTTTGAGTGGGCATTAGGCACTTAAAAGTCGCATGTCAGGTAATGGTGACAGTCTACTGCAACTTTGCGCAGACTGCAGCCTGTTCCTGGTTAGCACTAACTACCGGCACAATGAGGGACGATGTGCTACTTGGCGTTCTCTTTATGCACCTCAAACTTGGACTTAGATTACATCGCCATGAGCTACAGCTGGCGTGGTTGTGTACAAGACTATCGCTCCCTTTGGAGTACCTTTCTGGACTCTAATCATGTCCTTGTTTGTGCTAATCTTATTTTACTTTTCAGCGGCCAACAAATTCATCGTCCTAAATTGATCGATGTCAGCCAATTGGTTGCAGCAACTGTTGCAACTAAATATCAAACCGAGCTAGATTCTAGACTAGCTATAGCTCGCCGAAAAGTTTAGATAAATATTGGCTGCAATTGCATGATGTTATAAAAATGGTGAGTAGAGTCACTTACGGCTTCACGAAACGTCCCACCTATAAGCGCTGGATTTCAATAGGCTCGTTACAAATGGACGAAACACGTCGGTCTACTCCAAATGACCGCGAATTCGACGACAAACGTAGTGAGTGTGGAAAGCTTGCATAAGGACCGAGAAGCCTGGTGTTCAGAGCGTGCTAATGAGATGAAAACAGCAACTGTTTCCGGTATGTGCCGAAAGCTTTTTCAACTCATCTGAGTCACTGGCACCAAGGTGTCTGGTGTGAGTGAAACAATCTACGAAGATGATGGAATGCCAACCAATAAGATCCACCGACGTCTTGGACGATGGGCAGAGCTTTTCGAGGAGAAATTCCACTGATCCCGACAACGTAGATCAGGCTGTCCTACCCTTCATGGTCTGTGATCACTAATCGACCTCACGAGATGGAAGTCCGCAAGGAACTCCAACTCCTGAAGTGCCACAAATCACCAGGTCCAGATGACTTACCTCTGGCCATTTTTAAAGATTGTGCTGACCTTTCGGTCAAGGAACTGACTGATTTGGTTACAAAGGCCTAGTAGTTTGAGTGTCCCAACACCCTGGAATGAATCTAAAGTTGTCACTGTGTTAGCGGGACATAGACTAGACTAAAGCATGCTCAATGCATGATTGCTTTGGTGCACGCTGATTGGCTAATTCTTATCCAATCAGCGCTAGTCGATAGTTGGAGAATATTCTGGATTCTTCTTATGTAAAAACTATAAATATACCGACGTTTTCCCCTATTGTGCTTCCTACTGGCTTCTGACTGGCTATTTGGAATATAATCTTTTTTCCTGTTCAACCGTGTTCTGATTTGGGGACTTGTCGAGTGAATCGGTGTCCGAGAATACTAAGCAATAGGAATAGCTGGGTCATTAACCGTAAGAAGCGAGAGATTATAACACACTGTCGAGGGATAATTCTACTTTTAGCTGCGTTCAAACTATTTGATTTAGTCATACCTGATAGATTGCTCGATACCAGGGAGGCGTTGACTCGCAAGCAGCAGGCTGGTTTTCGTTCTGGTCAAAGATGTATTGACCACATCTTCACCCACCGCCGAATGGTAAAACACCGTCATACTTATCACAGACCAACAACCCTAATGTTTCTTGACATCATGGCTGCCTTCGATTCGTTGGACAGGACTGTTCCCTGGGATTGCCTATTGAAGAAGAGTGGGCCTAAGAAATTGATTAATATCCTGAAAGCTCTACACACAAAGATCTCAGGTAAAGTGAAGCCACACAACCACCTCTCTCCATAGTCCCATTCATACAGTGGGGTTAGGCAGCGTTGCCCAATCTTACTATTCCTCTTCAACTTTGCCCTGATGGAAGTTGGCAGTGGTGGTGCGAATCTGTTGCATACAGGAAAACTTTGACCTTGAGTATGCGAATGATATTATTTTACTGTGCGATGATACTCAAACCATGCAATCAGCACTTAATCAGTTGGCAATCAATGTCCGTAGGTATGGTATGTGCTTCGTACCTTCGAAGTGCAAAGAGCTTTTACAAGGCCGGCAGGGCACTGACCCTGCACTCGCCCTGAGTAGTGAGTAGATAGAATAAGTAGAGGCATCCAGTGGCAACACCATGTTAGTAATGCAGAGGTTTGACATCGCGTGTTCCGGCCCAGCGACGATAATTCAATTGGTGTCACTATCTTGAAAAATCGACTTCGGTGGCTTGGACATGTTCTACGAATGTCGGTCAGAGAATTCCACGACGTGCATTATTTGCTGACTCTGGGACTGGTTGGAAAAAGCGGAGAGTTGGTCAGTGGCTGGCTTCTGTTGGTACGTCAGGACTTCCTTGTTGGGGTCCTAGAGATGGTACAATACAGTGGCTAGAGACGTGATCAGACATGGCTCAGAGTAGAAGGCAGTGAAGACCCTTCTATAACTTCTACTTTCTTCATAAAAATGGATGTAACTTCTTTAACTGAAAGAATCCTTTCTGATTATATTTATGCTAACTGAACTGTTTTTCCCATTATTATTATTATTATTTCACTCTCATACACTAATTTCTGTTCGTAGTTGTTCTTTTCTCATTATACGCACTTTACTTTCTCTATCTCTTCACAACCTCATTGTTATTATGTGGTGCATATTTATTCGGTGCCCCATTGTATTAATCTTTATGTGTTCAAATAAATAAATTAAAGGATAAATAAATCAACAGAACGAGAGTCACCTGGGTATCAATATCTAACGGGTCCTCGCTTCTTTTTAAAGAATCATATTTTTTAAGAGCTGTTAAACGATAATTAAGTCCATCCACATAGACCAAGCGTCTGATTTTTAAGACTGAAGAAACAATACCAACCTGAAAAAAAGAATAGAGATGATGTGAACATAAGATGACGTAAAACAACAATTAAATAGGATTTCAATTTGTTAAAATAAAGATACAAGAACAACGAAATAATAACTGTTTATTTGGGAACACAAACTGATCGAGAGTGGGATAGAAATGAGCGTTATACTACTGACTGGAATCCACGAAATTAAAACTCAACAAATCAATACAATACTAATCTACTGTACCATTACTGAATTCCTTCTTCTCTAACGAGTTTTTAAAATATATTTCTGTTTAAAAACAGCTTTAATAAACAAAGATAATACTGACTAGATTCCAGTAAGTTATACTTATTCTGCCCCATCATTATAGTATAATGATGATGAAAACATCACAATTCATTGAAACAAAATTATATAGCTCAAAGCAGAGCTTAAATATTGCAGAATTACCATCACTCTATTACGAATTTCTAATACCGATAAATTTCAGTATAAAAAATCACTGAATGTTTTAAAATGTGATCAAACGAAAGTTAATTAATGTAAATCCAGAACGTCAAGAGAAGTGGATGTGATTTGATTATAAAACAGAAATCGCAACTTCTCAAAGTTAAATCCAATCAAGAGAACCAATAATGAGTGCGATAAATTTTCAGGTAGTCTGGATAAAATTGTTAACATATGTTTACAAGAGGATTATAAGATCAAAGAATCAATAGAGAGAGGACTTATAGTAACCGAAAATAAGGAACGAATTCATGAAGATGATGTCCAATATAGTACTAAATCAGTGAGTTTCATTAATGCTAACACAAAGGACACAACTGAGGTTTTCAAGGATAGAATATCAGTCAAATCCTGTTAGTTTTCTGAGCTAGACAACTTTCAGTAACGGTACGTTCAATGTGAACAGCATGTAAAGAAATTTAAGTTAGTTTCAGAAACAGCGTTTTAAAATATACTATGTTTCTCACTAATCAGGTACTCTTCCACACATAAGCCAATCTATAACTGTTAATTAACAAATAAGTCAAACCACAATACTGGCATTCAAACAATTTCGATGTGATAGATGTAGTGAACTTCAGTACGTAGTGTCTCCACCAATCTGATTCCATTTTATCAGGAGAAAAATTCTAATTTTATCCTTAAAATAACAACTAGCGCATTGTAAGCATACCGAGAAAATATCAACAGTGTGGTGCGTGCTACTTATATTGATATAAGTAGTAGATAACGTGAGTTAAAAGAATGTAATGTCTGACGGCAGAAGATGGGGAAGATCAAGAAAGGAAGAGCGAGAACACAATGGAATTTGTATGAAATCGCATGAACAATGAAATGTGAGACAATGGATTGATGTTTGCAACAGCAACAGTCCGGTTTGATATGATGGAATGATATTTTGCAAATTAACGATTTACTATATAGTTTTTCCATTTTACCAAGTAACTGTAATTTTGTGCTTAATACAATTTGGTTGTCCTCACCTATGTTCTCCTTCACTACAACAGTACCAAAAATAATCACCGTCTAAATAACAGTGAACTGTGGTACATAGCAGTGAGCGAGGATGATATTTCTCTACAATCAAAATTAGGTAAAAACAAGATGGATAACCTTTGAGCATATACATTTTAAAAAGTCGATTACTGTACAAATGGAAGAAAGCTACTGCAACCAACACAATTACTTAATGATTACCTGAAAATTGATTATTTTAGAACAGTTCGGATTTGTACAACAAAGACTTTTGAAATTAAAACAACTTCAATTTACAAGTAATTCAGAGACTATTGACAATGTTAAAAGCGTTCAACAATCAACGTGTATAGGTCAATCAACAAGTATACTTCACATATATAAATTTAAAGAAGATTTAAAAGCAATATCATAGGTTTACCAAAAGAGCTAAAGGACTGGTGGCAAAAATGTGCCTTACATGTGAAATATTTTATTAAACGTCAAAATATCTTGGATAAAAAATGGATTTCAATGGGACTAATACGAGTGAGAGTTCAAGGAAATAAACATGACTCTATATCATAATTATCAATTATTTTGCCTTTAGATGCATTCCAACCAAAATTTGAAGAAAGCTATGAATAATTAGGTTGTTTTCATTCTTGAGCATAACGTAAAAAATATTCCAGGAGTAAATTAGGGAAATATATTGGATGTTAACAATATTAGTTTTGAGTCTTAGTAAATTTCTAAAACCCAGTTAACAAGAATCCTGTTATCAGAAGACGGTTATGGTTTACGATTAACAGATTTTACACGTGCCTGTTTCTTTAAATCATAAGTAGCAATCCAAACAACATTTTATTTTGTTTGAATGAAGTTAAGAGCGAGAAAGAAACTTACTCTTCCTTTATCCGGGCCACACAGTATTTGGACACGATCACCTTTAAAAATCAATTGGTCTTCAGGTAGCATAGGTTGCAACTTTCGTGCTTCTTTGCGACCATTCGGATGAATAACGCACCAAGTTACATTCGGATATGGGAATTCGGATATGCGGTTAGCAACGTTCCAAGGGGGTTTCTCAGAAAAATGCCAAATCGGTAGATATTTTTCTTCTTTTTTCTAAAAGTAATTCAAATACACCTTTAGAGTGAAGAGTCATAAGAAAATTATCTAGTCTGTAAAAAGTATTCACTCCAAATAAAAAAGTTAAAAATAGACCACGACTCCTTAGTTGGCACATTTCACTACTAGGATCAACACATCAGTGATCTATTAGTTGAGACCGTAAGTGATATGAAACTAGCTAAGCACACGACGGTGGTACATAGGAACTGAAATGGGAAATATTTCATGAATAGTAACCAAACGCTTTCTGCATTATAAGTGTAAATACTGGTGCAACAGAGCATTTGAAAAAATGCATCACACAAATAAAATGATAACATCATAGAGAAATAGAAGGTACGGTTATACAATATATAAATAAATGGACAAGGTCGGTTCTTACAGTTAACGTAAGAATATACCCAAGAAACATATCTTTCAGTTAAGAACATTTACCTAACCTACCAACATGGCTCAGACTAGAGGTTAGTGTCTTCAAGCACTGATGCCACGTTTTGGTTTGGCCGCCCCTAATTTTCTTCCTACCATCTCTAACACCCGTTAGCATTGCACGATGTGGTAATCGGTGTCAACGCGTTCGAGTGCTTTATTCCCTACGTCCTGGTACGGCCGAGAGTGAGGAGAGTCCGCTCTCCTCGAAATGCGTTTAAATGTGTCTAAACAAATAAATTTAGAAGCCTTATAGTAAGTGACGTCAATGAACTATCTACTACCTGAGTTGGTTTTGTGACGGAATAAATAAATAAATAACTTCACTCCCTATCCTTAGTTCAGGTGTTAACGCAGACCAGTCCTGAAGCAACAACTTGCATTTAGAGGGAGAGAAGCGCATTCCAAACATTCTGGCATTGTTGCTCAGTGCTACCAGAAGACTCTGCATTTTGTTAGCGTCTTCACCAAACAGGACTATGTCATCTGCGTATTCTAAGTCGATAAGTGAACCTCCTGGTAGGAGATCAATACCCGAGAATTCAGTCGATGAAAGCGTTATTTCCATCAGTAGGTCTATGATGAAGTTAAACAGAAATGGAGAAAGTGGACAGCCTTGAAGGACACCACTTGAGGTTGCAAAAGTAGATGACAGTTCGCCATAAGCTCTGACTCGACTAGTAGTGTTCGAGTAAAGAGCCTTTACAAGGTTTATGTACTTCTGGGGTACGTCTTCAACGACATACACTGCTACAGTATCTCGCGGTCTACCGAGTCAAATGCTGCTTTTAAGTCGAGAAAGACCACCATTGTCGGACACCGATGAGCATGCCTGTGTTCTAGAATCTGACGAATAGTGAATATGTGGTCGATGCAACCACGACCACGTCTGAAGCCAGCCTGGTTTTTTCGTGTTTGCAGTTCACGAGTCTTTTTTAGGTATCTGATAATTATTGAGGCTATAGAGTATAATATGTACCTGAAGCGATCTCGATGGTGTTACATATTAATTTCTCTATATACAACCCTCTTATCAAACACTGGGATTCAAAATAGAAATGCCTCAGTTACCCACCTTTAGTGTTAGTTGGAAAAAACATATTAAAGTTAGTTCAATATTTTCAACGCTGATATGGTGGACCTTTGCGTTTTAGATGAACTACAGTACTTCAAATTGTATTTCCCGTTTTGTATAAACACCTAACTTTGTGTTTTTTTTGACTAAACTACTATTTGAATCACATTCCTACTTTGCAATAACAGCGCACTATTGTACAACATAACTTCGTGTTATAAACGATAAGGTAAAATTTCAATTAAGTTTCCAGATAATGTGTAATAAGTTGCACTGAATGTAAACCATAGGCTTTCTACTAGTTGAACTCAACTACACGATACGCGATACAGTTTACTGTAATGTTGAAACATTGAGTTCGGCAACGCTACCACAAAAACTCAACAATAAAATAACGCCAGCACATGGAGCCAGACAGTATGATGGAAGTGAACAATGTTAATTCCCAAAAATTAACCCAATAAATTTTCATCAACAATAAATGAATACATACTTCATTTGGTAGAGAGTTGGGCCGTTGAAACATATGATCCGTTTCAAAACGCCAACCTAGAAGTTCTTTTCGATAAACAGGACGGAACCTGATCAAGCGAGCTACATAACGTGGCCAATAATTAAATTTCTGGATATGACTCTTTATGGAGGTAAAACAAAGGATAAAGTTAGAATGTGTAAAATTATTAAACGATTTTATACTTACGAGATTATATTAAATAATATAATGCTAACCTTTAGTTTGCAAGTAAGTGCCGCAACCCGTAACGTAGTGGTAAAACACGATGGTACTGTAAGTCAAAATAACGCTCAGACATTGCTACGCTCCTACAAGAACGGAAACAGCTTAATGTAATAACTAAACTCAAAAGCAACTTGAAGCGAAACAAAAGAACTTAATTTTCTAAGCAATCCTACGAACTCTCAATAATGTTGTATAGATGGAGTCACAGATAGAAAAACCACGATATGCAGAAATTTTTGTCGGAAAATGAGACAGCTTCAATGTTGAAGAATCATTGATGTTCATTAAACCAAAGTGAAAGATAAGGCAAGAAATAAGACACTTTATATGGCTTATTCAGATCTACATACCATCGTGAAATGGAGAAGCAAGCTAGTAAACCAACCAGTTATTTAGATGTTCATCTGTTTATAAACCAGCAATTTTACAGGAAACAAATGATTAAGGGTTCGCTGAAACTCATTGCTTTATTGAATGCTATACGTATAAAGTGCATTGGGTTATAACAATTTATATCTCCACTTCGAAAGTTTAGCGACTAGATATTTTCTTGCTATAAATTACAAAACAATAGTTGGTAAGAATTCCTTGGAGGGTGGTAAGCAAAAATTAATAGTGACAGTTTAGTTATAATTGCATCAAATAGCTGGTTATTATTACCGAAGTAATAAGTACGCAATGTAATTCCTCTTTATAACATTATTCTACATATTTGTGGAATAAAGGTATTTACCAACATGAGACTTAGTTCGATTGTGAAAATGATAGTGGCAATATAGACGTAAACTTAGAATGCTTATATATCAAGTATATTCATACAGTTCTTCAATTTGACGCGTGTTCACTTAGAATTTACTTATTCAAAATTCCAGATTCTTCAAATGCGCTGAAATAATGGGCAGCTGTAAAGTAAACAACAATGATTCCCCACGACTCTTTAGTTGATTTACATCATTCCAATTACATAAAAAATATAACTATTTTCTCATGCCAACAGACGTTTATGTCCCATATCAGCATCAATACCTCCACAATAAAATTTTCGGAATCAATCTCGAACTATTCGTTCAACAAGTGATTTCTTTCTAACTGACTGAAACACATACGGCGAAATTACACCACGTAAATAGTGAGAATAATCTGTACTTTAATGCAATTAGAGAGACTTTATTATTATTTATTTGAACACATAGATATTGGTACAATGAGGCACCAAATACATATGCGCCACACAAATCTCATTTGATTTGTGTGAGGGCTGTGATACTGCCCGAGTGCCCAAGCCGAAGCACGTGGTTTCCTTGGAAGGCCACACTCGGAGCCTTCAACCTACAGGTCTGATCCACAAAACAGTGGAGCATCGTAAGGAGATGCGATCCCATGATAGCCGGTGACCAACGATTGGTTTATACGCCATTTGTTCACTCAGGATACTGGAGCCCATGTGCACCATTGGTTTGAAATTAGGGTTTTCCAACTACCCTAAGTGAACTTTTCGTGTCCACCAACCCGGTTAAAGCGCAGGACATTTGCTTTTTGCCCTCTCAATTTCGTAAACAACACCCCCGCCACGAGAAGGCAGTGAGTAGGACTTCCCTGGAAGAGGCTATATACGCATGGCCATGTGAGAGCATTTCGAGAGGGAGAGCGGACTCTCCCCACTCTCGGCCATACCAAGGCATTTAGGTGTATGACGAAATCTTGACATGGATTCTGAAGTTTCGATTGGCTTTTGCTAACTTGCGTCAATCATGACATAGTCGAAATATCCGTCTTACATCCAAAGGGCAACCTTACTGAGTAGCAGTTCACTAAGTCCTACTTGCTGGATGTGAAACATGATCATTAAGAATAGCGGATATTCGTAGGTTACTGTCACTCGATCATAGGTATCAACGAAACATTACTCGTGAATTTTAGGACGACGAAGCAAGCAATGTCGGGCTTCGGAATAAAGTACTAGATATAAGGATTGGAAATCGATTGATGACGTAGGTCTTCATCAACTGAGGTGGTTTGGATATGTGTTACGTATACTCAACCACCACCTATCTTGATGGGCGGTTTTTTCTGGTGCACAAGTAGGCTGGACGACAGCTAAGAGTGGTCAAACCAAAAGATAGAATCAGTCAGTGAAGTCACTGACAACTGAACTTAGCCATGTTAGTAGGTATAGATTACCTGGTTGGGGTCCGCGTAATTATCGTGACCAATGGTCAGATTCTGAATGACATGGATCAAAATCCTTTGGAATGACGCATGTGCATCCACTCTTCGTCTTACGTCGGATTTTGAGGTCCTAAATTACTCATGACTTTTTTGTTTGTATTTCTTCTTTTCGAGACACATCTTTGATGTCTAACTCTTACTATTATCACTGAAACTGTTACTACCTATGCTATTCTAGGATTTGGTCCGACAACTCAATCGCTCTGTGCTTATGGGGTACAACAACTTGAATCGATGTACATACTTACAGGTTCTAAGTTATGACTGACCGACCTATTAACGGTAATTTTTAACTTTAAAACCAGTCAGTAGCGATCAGTCAAAGAAATTATGGATTCATTCTTCTGCAACTATTCTGAATATGACAGTGAGCCCCTAGTGAAACTTACGGTCTCCGAATCAGTTTTGTTTCTGAGATAAGCTAATAAGGAGCGATGATTGTTAAAACAATCGTCTCTTAGAATGGACATCTGAAACGTTATATGGTGTATTTTAACCAACTAGGGGTGATACACTCTTCCTCCATGACTCAGCTACAATGTAGGACCAGGCACATATGTGCATTGGTCCAGGTTGCCATACCGCATCAGCACAACAAGATGAACACCGGATTTATAGCAGTGGTTAGGTCAAAGATGGTAATATGTAGGAGAAAGATTGCATATAAGGATACAGTACAGGAAGAAAGAATTAGTTCGTAGAAAGAAAGATATGAAGTGATTTTAATCTCTTAGTTTAAGGGAAGACAGGGAGTATATACACCGACGCCACTGTGATAGATTCTGAGCCATGTCACCAAGAGTCTCCAACCATCGGTTACGAAAGTCACGCGGACCCCAACCAAGTAGTCTGCATCTACTAACATGGCTCAGACTAGAGGTTAGTGTCTTCAAGCACTGATGCCACGTTTTGGTTTGGCCGCCCCTAACTTTCTTCCAACCATTTCCAATACCGGATAGCATTGCACGTCGTGGTAATCGGTGTTCAGGCATACGTAACACGTGGCCCAACCATCTCAGTCGATGAAGATTCATAACCTCATCAACTGATTTACCATCATTCCCTAGTACCCTGCGTCTAACCTCACTATTACTTACCCGGTGATCCCAGCAGACGCCAGCAATATTTCTAAGGCATCTGTGGTCAAATACTAATAGCTTACGAATGTCTTCTACTCTTAATGGCCATGTTTCGCTGCCGTAAATTAAAACAGAACGGACTGCCGCGCAGTATACTCGTCCTTTCATTGATAGACGGATATCTCGCCTTCGCCATAGGTGACGCAAGTTGGCAAAAGCCAATCGAGCTTTTCGAATCCGTGCTGAGATTTCGTCCGATACCAACCCATTAGGGCTGATCAGACTTCCAAGATAAGTGAAGTTGTCGACGCGTCCGACTACTTCACTCCCTATCCTTAGTTCAGGTGTTAACGCAGACCAGTCCTGAAGCAACAACTTGCATTTAGAGGGAGAGAAGCGCATTCCAAACATTCTGGCATTGTTGCTCAGTGCTACCAGAAGACTCTGCATTTTGTTAGCGTCTTCACCAAACAGGACTATGTCATCTGCGTATTCTAAGTCGATAAGTGAACCTCCTGGTAGGAGATCAATACCCGAGAATTCAGTCGATGAAAGCGTTATTTCCATCAGTAGGTCTATGATGAAGTTAAACAGAAATGGAGAAAGTGGACAGCCTTGAAGGACACCACTTGAGGTTGCAAAAGTAGATGACAGTTCGCCATAAGCTCTGACTCGACTAGTAGTGTTCGAGTAAAGAGCCTTTACAAGGTTTATGTACTTCTGGGGTACGCCTTTCAATGACAAACACTGCCACAGAATCTCGCGGTCTACCGAGTCAAATGCTGCTTTTAAGTCGAGAAAGACCACCATTGTCGGACGCCGATAAGTATGCCTGTGTTCTAGAATCTGACGAATGGTGAATATGTGGTCGATGCAGCCACGACTAGGTCTAAAGCCAGCTTGGTTCTCTCGTGTTTGCAGTTCACGAGTCTTAGTTAGGCGTCTGATAATTATCGAGGCTAGTATTTTAGATATTATATTAGTTAAACTAATCCCTCTATGGTTGTCACAGGATGATTTTGACCCTTTCTTATATATTGGGATGATAAGTGATTGTGACCAGTTAGATGGAATAACGTCTAACTCCCAGATTTTAGCTAAAATATTAGTCAACCTAATCGCTAAAATTGGACCACCATCCTTAAAGACCTCTGGAGCCAATCCATCTGGACCAGCTGCCCTTCCTCGTTTCAGATTAACTATAGCCTTTTGAACTTCAGCAAGAGTTGGGGGACCTACTTCAATGTTCCATTCACACTGTCTGGGAATGGAGGGTAGTTGTAGAGTAGCTGAAGGCCAGCTGAACTGTTCTCTGAAATGTTCCGCCCATCGTTCTAAACGCCTGGACTGGGAGCAGATGAGTGTATCGTCTTTTTCCGATATAATCTCCCTTACACTTGACTTATTAATTCCAGTTTCTTTTATTAGTCTGTAAAGCTGTCTTGTGTTCCCTATAGTCGCCGCCTTTTCCATCTCTTTTGCTTTCGTTGCCCACCACTGCTCACGGTCGTTTCTTAGACTTTTTCTTAACCTAGATCTGATTTGTTGTCGCTCTTCATCATGTTCGGAACCTGATGGGACGAGTTTGCGAGAATCCATCAGTGTGATAGACTTTGAAGAAATCCACTGGTTCTTTGAAACTCTGTGGTTTAAGTCCCTAATAGATGTCACTGCTGCTTCCACAGCTGCTTGTATTTCATTCCAAGCAACATCTGGGTCAGCCTCGTCTTCAGAACTACCTAATCGTGACCTCAGTTGTTCCTGGAACCTACTTTTGGTTTCCTCGCTACTCAGTTCGGTTCTAATGGGTCTTTTTACTGTGGCTTTTTTGCGTCCAGTGAGGCGCAAGCAGATGCGTGTCCGTATTAGGGCATGGTCGGAGTCCAAGCAGGTACTCCAGAATGAGCGACAATCTTGTACCGACCCTCTCCAACGATGACTGATGGCAATATGGTCTATTTGAGTCCATCGTTGGTTTGGTGCAGGCGGTCGCCACGTTAGACGATGTCTCTCCTTATGCCTACAATTAGTGTTTTCTAAAAATAAACGATTGTCTGAGCACAGTTGCAGCAGACGGTCACCATTATCTGTTCGCTGTGCCGGAATGCTAAAATATCCACCTAAATACCTTTCTGTTTGGTTTAAGCTACCTATCTGAGCATTAAAGTCACCCCCTACGAGTACTATGTCTGAGCGTTTAGCTTTCTGAAGAAGTTCGGACAGCTTTCTGTAAAATTCATCTTTCACATCATCTGAGCTGTAGTCAGTGGGAGCGTAGGCAGAAACGACGAAAAAATAACGACGTGTGTCCCTATCCTTCCGAGTTTTTACGGAGCCGTTTAGCCGAACAGCACATAGACGACTGTTGACGGGGATCCACTCTAGCAGTGCTTGTTCCGCCCTCATGCTTAGTGCTATGCCTACACCTGCCAGTCCACGAGAACTGGCCATCGGGTCACCAGATACACGTAGGGTGTATCTCGTTGGCTCTCCGTTTTGCCGAGGTGAGGTCAAGTGAATGACCACACTGGAATCCTGTATGCGTGTTTCGGAGACACAGCATACATCAATGGAAAGAGACTCTAGGGTTCTAGCGAAGGAAGCCTGCTGACCGATTTGGCATAGGGTGCGTACGTTGAAGGCTCCAATGTTTAGTTTGGAGCGAGGTTTCAGTAGACCTGGGACAGAGTTTTGAGCACTAGAATCGTTGGCTATGGTGACACTTGAGGAGGAAGCCGAAGGAGGAAGTTTAGGGTTGAAAGTCGATGTAGGAGGAATAATAAGAATTGAAGAGGAAGGTTGATTATGAATACAGTGGTCTTGAATGCTGTTAGAGGTGTGAGGGCGATTATCACTTCCCGGCTGCCCACACCGTGGAAGGGTTCTTCTGGAGGTACCTGAAAAGGAAATTGGATTAGAGGCGGTCTCAGTGACCTGAGAGCGTGACCGCAGTGCCCAAGGGACAACTGCTTGAGGCCGGTCGCGCACGGCCTTTTCGTGGGAGGTTTTTGACGTGTTAGCTCCGTTCTTCAAAGGGCCTTACCGCCGGAGACGGAAATCCGTGAGGTAAGGTGAGGTGCGCATTTTTAGGGTCGACCTTTTCTAACCCCACCCCTCCTTGTGGGAAGGCAGCATCGCTGTCATGCTGGTTGTGTGAAGGAAACACCTTACTGCTGTCACACCTCTGTACAGTCAGCAGTACGACTTAGCCTTCGGACCTTGGGTTTGTTGCTTTTAGTCTTACCGCTCTTCAACCGACCTGTCTGACATGGTAGGACCTTGAGGAACGGTTGTTCCAGCCAGTATAGCTCGGTTGCTTCATCACGATAGGCAAGCCCGACCACCACGTCAAGGTAGCAACAACAACAATTCTCAAGTATGAACTGTTTTACTGAGATTGGAGAAAACCCAATAAGCAAAACACTAAAATAAAATTATCGGGAATTCCAAGCCCAATTAATTGTAATGACAGCTGTATTGTGAATCTAAGGTAGGACCTCACAATTTTTCATTATCTTTTAGTTAACAAGAATGAAATTCTTCCTGTAGTAAGCACAAAAGAACCAGGTCGCTTAATGTGATGTATGAAAACTCTACCGTCGGTGATAGATACCTACTTGGTTAAGTGCTGACAAGATTTAATGTCTTAAAGACCAATCACAGAAGCCAAACAAATAGTTTAGTGTTGTAAATACGTTAGACTTGGAACAGTGACCACGTTTCTAGCTGTTTTGTGCAAACTTCGCCAATTACTAATTTAACAAGAAGTGATATAAATGGTCAGTCGAAAGCTGGCAAACACAAACAATTCAATCTATGCTCATGGACTTTGCTTAGGTGTACAAAATCCATAGTTTGAAGACTCAAACCTGTACCAAATATTCTCAGTAAAAGTTTTTAGGTTCCCGTATGTATCTGAACTTTTTCCCGACACAATAAATCTACTATCGAAAAACAATCGCTGAAAGTATGTGTATAAATATCAACACCACTCGTAGCAATGACACTGAAGAGTAGGACTTCAAATTATCCTACTAGTCTAAAGATGACATTTCCATAAATAATTTCAAGAGTTATTTGTTATTACCAGACAGTAGCTAAATGTAAAACAACCGAATGGTTTTCATTACATACCAGTAATCTTGACCACTACATGTCTTCAGTTCATCAGTTTTATCACATTCTTTGTCATGCTTGGGATCTGCAAAAGGTAGTCGCTGCCTTAAAAATTCCTGCAACTACAGATAAAACTAAATATGCCCTTCGGTTAAGTAAAAAATGAGTATTATTTTATGCTGAGATAATCTTTAAAGAGAACTGTTTTTTAGTTTCCACTATGAACAAGAATTCGGTTATTTTTGATAAAATATAATCGATTTGTGAGTACCAAATGTTCGTCATTATGAGTTTCCCTACTACAATATCAATGGACAAAATGAACCATAAAGATAGCAAAAGAATAAAAAACAATAACAGTACCACATAAAACAAAATACCAGACGTATAAGAATAAGGTTAGGACGTGGCTAATTTCGCGAAACAAGATTTGTGAAAATAATACTGGAAGAAGACAAAGATTAGGTCTACCTACGCAGTTGTGACCGATTCCAAGTCACGTCATCCGACATTTTCAACAAGTGACTGCGCAAACCCCAACCAAATAGTATGCATGTACCAACACGGCTGATGAATGGTCAATTACTTGATGGAATGATGCCATGTCTTGGTTTGGCAGCTCCTAGTATTCTGCAGATCTATTTACACTTTGGACAAACCAGGCTTTGCGGTATGAGGTGGTTGGTCAAACGTAACACACATCCTAACCATCTTAGTTGACGAAAATTCCTCACAAAACCAATCGACTCGCTATGTTTTCTCAGAACGTCGAGGCCAGTCTCAGAAATCTTTATTTGGCTGTTCCATTGTATGAGCCTAATGTCTTGAAGATATCTGTGATCAAATACTCCAAACCGACATGTTTTTTACTTACAGATTGCGCTTCTCACCCTTTGTTTAGTTAACGCCACCTATGGCATAGGTTAATAAAATCGGGTCAAGCATACTGCATCCATGCCCAGGGTTTACCGGACCTTAACCCAACAAGCCTGATGAAAATTTAGAGACAATTTTCGACGTTAACGCGCTCAACAATTTTACTCCTTACCATTAGTGTAGCTTTTTCGAGGTCACTTTACCATTACTCAAAGGCCGTTCACCGGTCGAATCTACCCACATGAACGACCAACTGTAAAATCAACTTCGAAGCACGCGCCATACATTATCCAACATCCATATAATGAACGTACACGAAATGATGTATGCTTGGAGTTAAAGTAAACGTTTTCAAATCATTTGAATGTATCGTATCCAGTAAACACAGTTGTTTCTTCGTTTAGTCAGACACCGAACTGTAGAAATTTTGCCATAACTATCATGGAAGATATGACATTTGCGTTGTTGTGAATTTCCTTCCATCATGAATAAGTACGTTACACTTGACATGGCCGCAGCACGATGGAGTGATGGTTTCGTCTCAAGACACCTTAAGTCCACACATGGGCAGGCAAAAAAGACAGAGAACGAAACACACCATCATGGATTGCGATAGTGTGAATGAGAATTCCCGATTCATTTTGGTTGGTTGCCGAGTGCAAGATCAAAATTAAGGGAGGAAGTGTAGTTGATCCTGATCTCTGATGTACGTCCGTGCGCAAGCACCTTGTCATTAAAGTAAGTTTCGATGTCTCCAGTCTCATCCCATATGCATAGTCTAGTCACTCAGTTGCACCGGTCGTAGTGGAGTTGAAGGCCACTTGAATATTGCCAGTTTTTAGGTATCAGTGAATGGTTTTGTCTCAGGTTAGTGAACTATGTCATCCAGGAATTAACTGATTGAGGTCAAAAATATACAAATTATAAAACTAATGAATAGGTTGAAAAAAGGATTGAATTGCAGGTGAATACATTTTTGTATTTGTTACGGGAGAACTGAAGACATTTGGCAGCTTACAACCTTTATATTGTATATTAATGATTTCACTATGCTTTTTGGGTGTATTTGTTTTACTCAACTTCTGAACTTGTTTGTTTATGTCATTATTTCGGACATTTTTGTTTCTCTTTGTCCTTGATTTGGTATTTGGGAGTTTTGCTCCGGGAACATAAAAAATCGAAAAACGACATGTAGTTCGACTACTTATAAATTGCGAATAAACCTTGGTACCTAAATTGGAGTCTTGTTCTATTGTTAATTTGGGTTCGTAAATTGCAAATAGATCTATATACCGTACTTCAATAACGAGAACGAGCAAAAACTTGGACGTAACAGTATCGAAGGCCAAATACCGGAGTTGTTCACAAGTTCTCTCCTAATAAGCTACTGTATGTGCTCAATCTCACGGTTGTCTCAAATGAAGATGTGTACAGTATCTCTTCGAGCAGTACGCCATGAGATTTAATTGATCAACGAGAAAGTATATATCTATGGGGTTTATTTGTGCCTCAAATATGTCATCTAAGCAGTCATGATATAGTTGAAATAAGGGAGGATGCAGCAAATGCAATACCTTGTATTTGTATTCTATCAATTAAAATCAACCTATCTCGTAGGGCTGGCAAACTGTGGCTGAATCCTAGCGAGACTTTCCTTCCAGCTGAATCATTTCTGAGTTAGACGAAAGATCACTAGCTGTTGGACAATCTAGCAAGCGTTGCCAATGTCAAGGACAGCTAGTTTTGAATAATCGGACTGGGTAATTCAGCAGTACCTGTACTCTTAACTTCTTTAGTCACTTTACGTGGCATGAGGTTATATGGTTGTTTGTTATAACTAGTCACTTAGGTAGCTGATTCACCTGGACATCGTGATGGGAGGAACCGGGCTATAAACACCTGTTGGAGCGGACTTGTACGTGATTGAAAGGGGTCATAACAACACATACTGAATTGAACAGACCTCGCCGTCCACGCTGGTGATATACAACCACTTATTTTATAGATATCTGAGGATGTATGGTTTTTCGAGAAACACTTCATATGGTTAGCCCCACATTTTTGAACTTGTACGGGTAGCAATCCTCCCTACCCCGCCTAGGAGATGTGAGTCAACTTTTGGACAAAAACTTGCAAGCTGTATGCACATCATATTGGGGATCAGCCGAATATGGTAAGCTTGTTTGCGACCAACGTAGTGAGTGATCGCTTGCCAAGTTATAAACCTTTAAGCCGTACCACGATGGTATTTAGCCGGGGATAGAGGCCATGGCTAGCTGTGAATTCTCGATAATTGTGAAAAAGGACGCAAGGAAATGGTACTTCCTTAATTTCATAGTTTCCTATATTTGCGCTCCAATGTATGGGTAGACCTCTCGAGAGTTTTGGACAACACTGAACTCTCATTGTAGATTACACACTGATCCTAAAAGCTTCAACCGACTTCATATCACTGCTCCTTTTTGAATTCCGTTCACTTAAATTGACAGATACTGTTACAGACAAGCCGGCAAACAGCTCGAAAAGCATCTCCGAAGTAATTCGCGAACGCAAACAGTTGTTATGGACTGCACACGAGCGGAAAGCGCGGCTGTACGTATTACACACGACCATCTAAATTTTATTTTGTGCGCCTTTCACGTATGGTGAGCTTTCCGTAAAAAGGTACAGCAATCATGATCTACATAAAACTGCCTCTAGGCTCACGACAAAATATTGAACGTATTTCAGTCCATTGGTAACGGCGGACACTATTGGAAGGTATTGTTTGAAATGTTACATATTCAGTAGATTTAATCAATATTTCCGAATTATTAAAAAAATAGCCGACTTGGTCAGTATCTTCTTCCGCTTTGGATGCCACGTAAAAGTATGTGGGCATATGCCTTTCGTGGAAGTGTTCTGACTCTGGGCAACAACACAAATAATCGTGTAGAGTCACTTAATCGCCAGATGAAAAGATATAACCGCAAAACTGACAGTTCGCATAAGTGTATATACACGGTTTACAAATGGAGTGCAATGACGTCGTCCAGGAAAAGTACTGAAGAAACGGTAATAGCCGGAAGGTACTGTGAGTGTGATGCTCCAAGGCTCATAATTCCGTTATTAAACATGATAACTCCATTTTCTCGGACAAAATTTTATACGAACTAGAAAATATGTGTTTCGTTTACGTCGAATATGAAAATGGCGGCTGATTGTTCATTGTGAACTGCGGAAAGCATTGCGAGGTGGATACAAGCACTTGTGAGTGCAACTGTGGAATATTTCTTACGTGCCGATATCCTTGTCGCCATATGCTACTGGCTTATGTTAAAAGACGAACTATTACAGCAAGTGCTGAAAAATTCCCGTTTTATTAAAAACACAATTGTATGAACGAAGAATATTCTTTTCAATAATTTCTCATCAGGTTCTACAATTATAAATCCAGATTAATAATCCATAAAATTGGCCAGATTTAAGGCAATATACATCATTTGGAAATTGTAATATGTGAATCAGGAATTGTTGTTTGTTATATAAATAAAATCGTTAATGTTGGGGCTGACTAATATAAAGTGTTAACTTGAATCAGTTTATAAGCGAAATGAAATTGTGAGATAAATTGTCAGAATAAATATGGTCAACATGGGGTAAGAGAGAGAGAATATTGTGATTACAAATCAAAAATTACGTAATATGTAAAATAATTAGGCCAAATATAATAGATTTAGGGGTGGATATTGAATAAATTCCTCAAAAAGAGGTTATCAAGTGTAAAGACAATAATAGTGATAATAATAATAACAGTAATAATAAGTTTGGGACATAAAATGAACATTAATCAGATTACGTCACCACATTATAAGATTGATTATTAGCTAGTTGGTCAGGGTAAGAGGAGTGGCTGAACATACTTCTTTTGGATACAAAGCTCTGGCTTTTTAATCCGAATAGCAATTGCTCCAGCCGTCTTTAGGATTCGCAGTCTGACGGAATTAGTTAGACTGCTGTTGACACGATAGACTATTGAAAAAGATTGCTCCATGTTGGCTGTATGTCCTGTTTGGACTAAATGGTCTAAGATGGAGCTGTTAACAGTGGGCCTGTTGAATTATGGTCTACTATGATATTAGTACTGCTCTAATACTAGACCTAATCCTAAAATTGTAGCTTTGTCATGATATAACTGACTAATCTATAAGATCTTACGTGGAAGTCACACCATCGACTACACCAGCACACTGTATCGTATCAATTACCAATACATGATGTAGAACAAGGTTAGTCTAGAGAAGGAACAATATATTTAATATGAATAGAAGATATAAGGTAACATTCAGAAGGACCACGCCTGCATGGTCGAGCCATGCCATCCGATCAACTCCAATCCATTCAATTCCTTGTTCGCGCCTTCTCCATTGTTAGGTATTTCTCCGCGTTAAATATTGAATATCTATTTTCTGAGTAGTCTCGTGTTCACAGCTTTGTGGATTGTGTGGCTATTGTCCAATGCCACTACACTACTCTCCCACCAGAATCAACGTGATGTTGGTTCGATACCAAATTGGATGGGATCGTCGCGCGCCGGAGGTTACCAAGGATAATAAGGATCCTCCGGGTATTGATAAGCTGAAAGATAAATCAAAAAGAAGGCGGCAGCATCTAGTCGGGAAATACATGTAATAATCTTAAAATATCTGCTTTCATGATTAACACGCTTAAAATGAAAATTTGGTTGAAGATTATTTGAACTATAAAAAATGGGATTACAATAATAATAATAATAAAACGATGCGTGTTAATAACTTAACTTATAGGCAGTAATTATTTTGTGTTTAGAAATATTAAAATAATGAATATTGTAGAAATGTTAATATTGGTATTAGTTTTGGTTTAAATTATGAAATCAAATAACGATTATGCCGGTAAGTTGTCCATATGAGTTGAATTCCAATTGCATCTGTATTAGTAGGCTAACTGAAGGAACAAAAGTATACCGTGGAGAAGAATTCCAATTTGTTTGATACGGTTTATTTAGTTACGGGGAGATTTTCTCAACCTCATTTCTACTTGACCGTGATAGAATTTAGTAATACTACTAATACACATGAACGGTTATCAGAATAAAATTTAAATACATGAGTGATAATTATATGTATTTTGGACAGATAGCTAGGAACAAATCGTTAAACATGAGTGTGTTCGTAAGAGACATGCTCTAGACTCAATGTTCTGATCTGCGATAGACTATTTATTTGTATTTATACTTGCAAGTTAGTTGCAAGTATGCAGTTTATCATAAGG